CTTTAAAAAAATCCAATTATTTTCTTTCACACACACTATTTCCCCCCTTTTTCTCTTTTTGGGTAGCAGAAGATACATATTTAGTTTAAAATATGGGTAGGCACTATGAAATACATCTATATTACATCTTTTTAATCAAGTACATTACTGTTTCATTAACACTATATATAAGAAACTACTTGATAAGTTACATTGAAACTGAGGTTCTAACAGTGATGAAGGAGATGAAACAACAGCCAGGAATGTCTGAACAGTTTATCAATCACAAATGACAAATTCAGTATCTTATGTAAGCAACTGGAACTGAACTTTCGAAAAAAATAATCTGTGTATTTTATTTGTGAATATATCAGTTTGATCTAGTTGTTAAGGCACCAGGTTATAACCATGAGTTCTAATCCTGCCTTAGCCATGAAAGCCAGCTGGGTGACGTTAGGATGTCACTTTCTCTAACCCAATTCACCTCACAGTGTTGTTGTTGTTGTTGTTGTTGTTGTTGTTGTTGTTGTTAGGAAAATAAAAATAGGAAGGTATGCTATATATGTTTACTGCCTTGAGTTATTTGTAAAAATAATAAAAGTGTGATACAAACAAATGAAATAAATAAGTAAAGTACCATTTAAAAACTTACAGAATTACAAAAACCAAATATCTGATGTCAAAAAATGTATTTATATTATTAAAATAGGTTCACAGAAACTTTCTTCATAGTGCAACATTTAAAATCATGCATCCACATTGGCATAAAGTAATCACTGAAATTGCCTAAAGATATTAACTCAAATCTAGGAAGTTGTCATTTATCAGATCTAGGCAATTAGTATATTTATGTTTGTATTATCTAGCCAAAATATTATACATGTTTTCCAATCTGACTGAGAAATTTGAAAACTGAATATGGGACACAGATAAATTATTACATTAATTATATAAGAGATTTCAATTCTTTCTTTCTGTAAAAAAAACTTGCAATAGCTGACTTCTAAATGTGTGTACTACTTGTCAGACATTCACAGTAATACATGCTGCTGGCCAGGTACAGAATGCACATTCCCATGAGGGAGAAATGTTCTTTATTTTGTACATAAAGGCAGATACATCCTCTAGCCAGGCTGGGAAGTGAGAGAGTTTTGAAAATAAAGAATAGATCTCCAAGAGAAGTTGCTGAACCAAAGCTGAAAAAGAACAGAATTTATTTCATATTTGCAGTAGCTTCAGATTAAATTTTGTAATTACAAGCAAAGGAAAAGTCCAAGAAATAGAGAAACATATACTTCAAGTAGCATCTATTTCTAAAGAAACTGATAAGAATGATTTTGCTCTAGATATATTTTTCCCTAAATTGTACAAGTTTAATGCTTTTATTCCTCTGTATAAGTTATTAAATTGAATAAGAAACCTTACAGTTTTATTCATCTGCCTTTTTATCTGTAAAGAAATCTGATTTATACTATTATTATATTTTAAACTGTAATATTAATTTGAAACTTCTAACCAATCATTTTGGATCAGAAAACAGGTAATTTGTGGCTATATTATGATCTGCGTGGAGCACTGCATTTTCTTCTGAACTATTCTTCTAAGCAGTTGTTTCATCATGATATGGATAGATTCCAACTTTTCTTTTTCGTCTTTGAATGCNAATAATAATAATAATTTATAATACATTTTTAAATGTTTAGTTGACTTAATTTCATGTTTAATGAATAAAATATATTATAATATTTTTTACAGACCAGATCCAGTATTATGGACAAAGGATGGTGGAGAATTACCAGATCCAGAAAGAATGGTTATCAATGGTAGGGAGCTACACATTAATCCCCTAAATAGAACGGACAATGGTACTTACAGATGCGAAGCAGAAAACTCTATTGGCCTAAACAGTGCAGAGTATGTTCTTATTATACATGGTGAGTACTTTATTACTGATATGAAACTGCATATTTATATGTACTGTAATACATTTTATTTATAAAATATTTATAAACTTGGAAAAGTATTAAATGTTTTTTTGAAGTTGATGAGTATGTGTGCATGTAACGGACAGAGGGATAGAATATATTGTTGATGGAAGTTGTTTTCATATATTAAATGATTGAGAGAGAAAAAAATCATAAACAGAATTTGCCATTCAGGCTCTCAAATTCTGCACCATTGACTGCAGAAATCCAAGTTCAAGTATCCAAGAGAAATGACTATCTAGTGGGTGCTTAAACAGGGCCGGTAAAGGAGACCTAATTGTAACTTCTGAACAAAATGTAAATTAGTGCTTTAAATGGGATGTCTTCAAATGGCAAAGGAAAAAGTAAAAAAAAAAGTGCAAAAGTGTTTTTTATTGATGCAGAGTTTTTTATGCAAAATGATCATGGAATATGTTTGCTTACCTATGATATTATGATTTATACCAACATCCCAAATTCTATTTTATCAGGGCTTACCTAAAATTTAAAAAGGAATTTAGATCCTTGTAAAACAATGTTTCTGTATTTAGAAAAAAAGTGTGACGAACAAGCAATGTGTACAAAATGTTTAATTTTCATGCTTTCAGTTAATATTTTATCTAAGTCACTGAAAACTCACGTGCAGTCTTTATTTTTCAGAATAACTTTATGTGTTCAGTAAAAGTATGGAATTAATTTTATCAATAGTTATTGCATCAGTTGATTCAAAATTATAAGCTCTATATATACTTTTTTAATTAGTCACTTGTGGTGTGTTGTTGAACTACAATTTTCAAAATCATCCCAGGAATCAAAATTTGCATTACGTTAGTGGTAAAGGTATTGATACATATGATGTATAAATTATGTACATGGATCAGATGTTGTTCTAGTTTTTTCAAAAAGTTTGAGTTATTTATGCTTCCTTGCTTTTTAGAGCAAACTTTAAAAATTGTTCTCTTACATGAAACTGCCTTCTCCATCCCTGAACACCTATCAGATATCATGTCGACTCTTAACTTCATCAAAGTCCATTTGACTAGTATATAGAAAGCAAGAGGTGCCAAACAGGCATATGATACTCTTTGGCAATATGATCCATTGTAGTTCTTCAAATATAAAAAAGGTGACTATGACAGCCAGAAAAAAAAGTTGGAGATATAATGAATTAGATACAAAATCATGGACCAAATTCAACTGATTATTTTATGGTAAATTGATATTTTGTAGTTAGTTAGTTAATTAGTTAGTTAGTTAGTTAGTTAG